GGCCTTGTCGTGAGATACTTATTTGATTTAAGATTCAGGTTTGTTGGAGCAGGCATGTGCCGAAGTTTGCAGGGTAGGCGATCTAAGTTCCTGCAAAGCTCCCCTTATGTGTCCGGGATTAGTGTATTCTCATTATCAGTTCGTATGAAATCGTGTGAAAAGTTATGCAGCGTAATTTCGTACGTTTTGGACGTTTTTTTTGTCGTATGTGGATGCGCATCTGACGAACCATTCACGAATATAGAATCTAAATTACAATTAGCCCTAACCCTAACCCTAAGATATAAAACAGCAAGCAACGTAGTTAGAGACATGAATAAGTGATGATTGCACTGTTTTTCCCAGTTTTAAGTCCGTCCGCGGATCTGCTTTTCTTTTTCTGTCTGCCAGCGCATGCGTACTGATGTGGTTTTTTGAGGAAAAACGTCCAAAACGTACGAAATAGTGTGCATAACTTTTCGTACGATTTCATACAAACTGATAATGAGAATATGTTGCCGGGATGCAACATATGCCGGGATGCCGGGAAGCTGGAGTGTGATGGTTATTTTCTATCTATTTTTAATTGTGAAAGACTAAAAGCTAAGTGTCCATTTATTTAGGAAATTACATATTTCTTTAATTGTGATGATATTAAAATTGTTTTAATTAATTTATGGTAATTAATTGTACATCCCTAAGTTATCCAATTTTAATGTATTACTAAATTTGAGTAAACATGTCAGCTGGCTGCTTATTTTCCAGCTATATATCTGGTCCAAAAAAGGAATGTTGAACAATATCTTAAAGTCTAACAAAAGGTCTGGATGATAGATTTATTAGCACCATTAGACATCTTAGTACCAATAGAGCATTGCCTGATCACAGAGATTGTGCAAAGAAGATTTCTCACTTTATGCTCTAACTTTATCAAATGCTAGAGCAGACTAGATGTTGTCTTAACTCAAAAATAAGGTCTGGGACCGCCAACATGTATAGAACACACATTTTCATGTTAACCACCTATTTCTGAACATGGATAATTTTCCCCCATTTAATAACTATATTTGAATAACAGATACATTTTTTATTGACTATTGTGCACCTGCAGATATGTTCAAAGGTATTTTACATATTTTCACCAAATAGGACTTTTATTTGAAATGGTGTTTTGTCTCTAAATTATGAGTTTTCATCACTGTAAATGTTTGATATGAAGTCTTTGAGATCACAGGAAAAGTTTCCCGTGATAAAAACTAGGGGTCCAGAGCGACGTCTCGTTTTACCACCTGCATGAGTTAATTTCTAACTAGCTCACCTGCCAACATCATCCTTAAATAGTCAGAGCTTTCTGAAACAGAGCTTCCAGCTGTGGCAAAATGACTCTTTGATAAGTTTGATTAAACTTGCAATGGACATGAAGCCCTTTGGACAAATCTAACAAAATCTATGCTACCTTGAAAAACTATAATCATGCATTATTGAATTGGCAAGGATAGTGTGTAATAGAGAGATCCTAAACTCATTCCCCCAGCGTTAATTATTAATTGAATTCAAATAACAGACAGAATAATTTTCTTAAAATATCTCAATCATTTTTCACATTGACCTAAGAGGGTGTAAAATAAATGGGATGCAGAGCACCTGTATTGTACTTTGAGACCGAATTATGTATTTACCAACATCTGTACCCCTTTAATGGATGCAACACATTCAATAAAAAATTTAGATTTTACAATTTTTCTGCATGCAATCTCTTATCAAACAGACAACCATTTGTAATTTTTAACTGATGCTCCAATGTTTATTTCAAATGTCATTCTCTCATGTTTAAACCGTTTTTCAGGCTTATCATCATGTCCTCGCTGGTGAGGGAAAGCCGGCTATATGAATGCCATACTAAGACCAGAGTAAAATATGATAATGAGTACAAATGGGATTATTAGGAGCCTGTGTGTCATCAGTCTGACTGATCCACAACGTCAAACTAGCCAAGCAAATTCAATTAGGCCTGCAATTACTCCCTGGCGTAAGTGGAGACGTATTGGATGATGTTAAATATTGATGGAAACACAGACGCCAGATTTGTTCATCTCCAAAGGTGAACACATCTCCCTGGGATAATCACAAATGCTAAATACGTCGCCTGTCCATTCAGAGCAGATATGAAATATGTTGTCATGTTCACGTCCTGCTAATGAACTCCAGGTATATTTAGAAAGTAACTAGTTGCTGATTTAATTTGAAGAACCGTTTTATTTTTAGTTTGTTTTAAATGAAAACTTTCAGTATGAAATTGTCAATCTGGCCTATTTATTTTTTTGAAAAGCTTCATTTTATGAACTAACATTGATTCCAGAAATAAACTCCAGTGAAGAAAATGATTTCTTGAATTGTTGTTTACTGGTTGTGAATGTAGATAAATAAATGCAGGGTTTGAATTACTTTATAATTCATGTATCAGTAGGAAAAGTGGACAAATAAACCCATGATTTATTTCCTACACAAGAAATGTATGTTTCATGTCATTATTGTAAAACTTGCGAAAATAATTTCAGTTTAAATCTGCATTTCAGACTAACAAAATACAATAAGATGGTTTTGAGGCACTCCTCTATAAAACATAATTTATCAGGGATAACAGAAGTTATGTTACAAAATGGGTTGTTTTGTCAAGAAGAATTAACTGTAATACAATCTTAAACCTGAGAAATCTGTAAAATTTTAACTACTTCTCCTGCATAGTGGAGAAGATTACAAACAGCATTTTCCTCCTCAAAACACTTTTTGAGATGATGTTATTTAAATTGTTTTACCTAAAAGAGAAGGAAAAACTCAGAAAATTGGGCCAGGCACATGCGGCAACCTGAGGGTCCGGCAACCATGTGCTGTCAGTTAGGAATGTCTGCTGATGTCCTGTGATATATCTGAAAACTACAATGAATGAATGAACTCTTCAGTGTCTGAACCAATTAAGCTTAGGATATTTAAAGTCCCAAAGAGTGTAACGCTCTGCTCTGCATTTAACCCATGAATTAGGGGGCAGTGTGCTGAAACACTTAGTGGTGCACAGTAGGGCATTCACCAAAAATTTGACTTGCCAATAACTTGACTTAATTAAGCTGAGTCGACTAATTTCTGGACAATTCAGGAATTGCCTCCTCCCCCCATGGCGGATGTGGGCCTACATGGTGGTGTGTATGCTGCATGCAAAACTGGTTTGCTAATGGCTTATTATATAGGTTTAATATAGCATACACTAAAAAAACAAAAAAACGAAACTTGATTATATCTACCTGATATAACCAAGTTTTACTTCTTTGTGCTCCCTTTTAATAATGATTTAGGTTGTTAAATCAGATACTTCAGAGGCATTCAGTTCAAATCAACGTTTCACCACCTACTCCATGAGCTGTACTGTACACTGATGATGGTCACTTTTGGAGCTATTTTAGTCTAATTCATACCCAGTTTGACAACCTGTCACCCTGCATTATTGCCCATATATCCTACCATGACACCAATAAATAGCAGAGCCTCTCTCAGATTGTTTTTTTTTTTTTTTTGTCAAGCAGCTAAAGTTCAGGGTTTCTAAATGTGCCTCATTTGCCTAAATGCTCACGAATCACTGCTCCAGCTGCTTGAAATTGACTACGGGACTTCTTCTGCTGCTTGATGCTTCATATGATGACGTTATAGAATGAGGTTGAGAACGAACGATCCCAGTGCACAGAGAGTAAAATGGGGTTAAGGGTCTTGTTAAGGCACAAAGGCTCAATCCAAATACCACAATTGGCAAGTACACTTATGCCATGGTGGAAGTGTGCCTGTGGTCACTATAATGAGTGCTATCAGAATAGTGCTGGTAGAAATGAGCTGGGACCAGGATGCTTCCCAGCACCAATGCTGTTGGCATAAGGACCTCTTGAAGTTCCTGGTCCTGCAAATGTCCTTACCTTTAGATGTCATGGGTTTTATAACGGAGAGCTTTATCCGTTTAACTGCATTTGAACAACTTTTGTTTTTTCTAGTTTGTTTCCCAACTCCACTACTTCCTGATAAATCTTCTTTATCTGAACTCTAACTTTGTTTCCTGTCTTTCATTACTTGACAAACTGATGAATCCAGCTTTGTCTGCCCATTCTCATTTTGGTTACTGAGGTCACACATATGGATTAATCAGTCTATCCTGTAAAGTAAGACAGGAAACAGAGGATCTGGCTGAAGTTAAGGAAGTAGTAGAGTTCGGCATTTAGCCCATCTGACCAGCATCATTCATGTCTTTCTGCTGCACAATGATGACAGTAAGGTTGAAACCTTTCCGGATTCAGCACAGCAGTCTGGAGCTCCTTTTCTACCCTCTATAGTGTTCTTACTGTTGATCCAACATACTGTAAGGTGAAGGTACAAACTCTTGGAACATGAGGTAGGCACTATAATTTGAGGTATTCGGAGTGACAAGACTGCAGCACCACTCTGGATGAATATTTTAAATGGACTACTCAGCACCAAATGTATAGGTGTAGCATACAGTAGCCGCTGCATTGTACTGTTTTGGTTAGAAGGCTGCCTCAAACAGTTTATGTAGAATAACAGATGGTGTCCTCGTAGCAGCATGTATAGTAAGGTTTAACCATCGCTAGTAAAAACCTGTTGAGTATTGGGGTCACACCATAACCATGCATCTCGTTTTAACAATACTAACACTAAAACAAGTAAAATATTATGTAATCAGTGTAATACTTTTAAGTACACGTGTCTGTATGTTACAACTTAAAGCCAAAGAATTGCAAACACCATTACTTTTGTCTTTGTCCTCCTGACTGGATTAATCTATTTCTAATTATTTTTTTAAAATCTCATTTAAGCTAACTAAATTGTATATTTACAGTTTCAAAGAGTTGTGGTTCATCATACTTACTCTAAAATTTTAATTTCAAGCTTTGTAATTTTTTATATTGTGTTTTTCAGTAGCAATAAATACATATAAATATTTGAATGCCCAACTGACACCAACATACCTGCTGTTGAATTTCTCAGGGTGCTTCTCTCTCATCACATGGAAACGATGTGCAATTGATGCATCCTGCAAGCCAGAAAGAGGATTGTTGATTGTAGTTACAAACAATAACAAAGAGCATCCAAATAGTAGATATAATGGTTTGTAAGGAAGCCCTGAAAGGCAAGGGAGAAAACAAATCTGGAAAAGAAAAGTGTGAAGTTTTTTTTTCTTTTTTTCTTGCCCTTCAGGGCTTCCATAGGTTTGTGGACTTTTGAGTAAAAATGGAAGTAATCAGTCTCACCGAGAGACATGCCATCATGGTGTTTCAGGAGTTGAAACTGTTTTAGGTAATTTAGTAATATCAAAATCAACATATGTGCATTCAATATAGTTTTTACATAATGAATCTTCATATTACATGTGCTTTCAAAACTAATGAAAGAAATATACCATGAGATGAGATAAGTATTTGCGTGAAATAAATTCATTTCTGTGGTTACATTCTATTCAAATACACTCTCCGCCTAATCTGACGCGGCTCGAGCCATATTGGAGATAAATAATAGAAAAAACCTTTGCAACTAATGGTAAAAACTTTCTTGATCTGCCAAGCTATTAGAAAAATAAAATAACAAAAGATAGTTGATAAAGGGTAGAATATAATGTACAGTCCAACATACAAACTTTTGTGTGGAAAACCTACATTTCATTTTACATCCCCTTCACACTTATGCACCGTATTGTCTTGATCTATGTCATTATATCCCCCCCAAAAAAACACAGATATACACTATTTGTGGTAGTACATGTGGAAGTGACTTACCAAGTCATTGCTGACATTTTTCACATAAGTCAGTGTGTGAAGGTACCATTTTTAATGGCTGTTTGTCCTCGTTTTGTACCTTTAAGAAGTTAAATATTGATGCTTCCTTTATGTAACCATTTTATGTTCTGATTGCTTCCTAAAATTATGTTTTCATGATAAACCAGATTAGGTTTTACTAAACTAGTTTTTTTTTGACTCATACAATGGTATATTAAGTCCCATCAATGAAATCCAGTATCATTATTCAATTCAATATTGTAGCGGTTAAACGGTGCTGTTATGTGTTATGTGTTTCCCATGCGGCTTAGCGGCAGCAAAGAGAGCCAAACCGTGAGTGAAAAGGCTATCTGTCCGAATGAGAAGACCTGTGTGTTCCGCATTAAAGTTGTTAATGTTCTGGCTATCTGACTCCGTGTGTCTCTTCACTGGGATCTCAACGGAGGTTACATTGGTGTCAGAAGTGGGATAGCCGAAAATGACATCCCTACAGAACATTGAACGGCTGCTAGCCGAACTGGAAGAAGAACTCACTTTCACAGAGGGGCAGCCTAGCTCGGAAAGACGGAAAAGAAAAAGAAAATTGCTTTTGTCAAGGCAGGTGGAACGAAGCACGGAGGAACAAAGCGCGGGGAACACTCGAACCAGCAGCAGCCGACCAGACGGTGCGAGCGCTGTCCGCGAGCGGCCTTTGTCAAGGCTGGTAAGTGCTCGCGTCCCTGCTTCCCCGCCTGCCATCAGAAGACAAGAGTCAATGAGGATTGTTGGGGAGGAGGTTTCCCATCGGCGTCACCCCCCAACTCTACCCAAGCTCCCTCGTTATAATGGGGAGACAGCCCTGGATGGTTACCTTGTCCAGGTTGAGATGGCTGCTGAACTGGGTAGCTGGTCCCCAGAGGAAATGGCACTTCAAGTCGCCTTGAGCTTAGAGGGGGGTGCCCTACAAGTGCTGTCTGACCTACGATCAGAAGAACGTCACACTTGGCCGTTGATCCAGGAAGCTCTTCGGGGGTGCTTTGGCAGGAGGATTTATGCTGAGCATGCAAGGGAACAGCTGATTAATCGCCGGCGCCTGGATGGTGAGTCCCTAGGCTCTTATGCAGCTGACATTCTGCTACAAACTCGACAAGGTTACCCTGATCTGGAGAAAGTGATACAGGAGAAACCATCATTCATTCCCCTAACCTTCATTAGGGGACTTCGCCCAGCCAGACTTCGTGAACATATCTGTGTCCACTCTCATAACAGCTGGGCAGTGGTGCTGGAGGAGGCAGAGAGGGTAGAGCCTATTCTAAGCGTCAAGAATACCGCTCCAGGGGTAAGGCTGTATGCAACACAAGCTTGTACTGAGAGTGATGACGAGGATAACCCGAGACAAGCAACGGCTTGTCTCGGGAGGAGCAGAGTGCTACCGTTGTGGAGAGCTGGGGCATCTGGCTCGTGATTGTCCAGCTCCACGTAAAAGAGACCTACAGCCTCCTTTAAACTGATTGGGGGTGGTACCAGAGGGGGCCTGCCACCACCAGAATACACCCCTACTACTGAAAATGCAATGCGATTGGGACGACTAGGCAGCCCACATGGACTATATGTGAACATTAGGCTCAATGGTGTTGCCCTCTGTGCTCTGATAGACACTTGCTCCATGGCCTCCTTGGTTCGACCGGGCATACTGCCTGGGACTGAGGCACCAAGTCCTAGAGGATGGTCCCTAACCAAGAAATACATCACCACGGCCACTGGGGAGCGCTCAAGGATGAAAGGCTGGCGGGTCCTTGATGTGGAGGTGGAGAGTCAGAAAAGTCAACACATGTTTTGGCTGGCGAAAATCCACGACCGCTGTATTATTGGATTGGACTTGCTGGCGGCGTGGGGGGGCATCATAGATGTTACTTCAGCCACGCTCCGAGTGGGCCACAAAGCTGTTCAACTTCACTCCCAACGTCAAGAGAGGGTGCGACAGGTTAATGCACCAACACTGTCAGAAGACCACAGCAGGGCCCCACAAAGACCACTGGATGACTTGGTGGGGACGGAGGAGGCCCATGCAGAACCGCCATCAGAGGAGACAAGGCAGGCTGTACGGGAGCTGTGCCTGCGGAGCTGTGGAGGACTGGGTCAGGAGCAGAGTGAACGGTTACAGGACCTGCTGGAGGCCTACATTGACATTTTTTTTCTGCCAAGGATGAGGAGTGTACTCGTACTAATCTGGTACAGCACGACATCGACACTGGAGAAATGAGACCCATCCGTCTGCGGCCCCACCGTCTGCCTTTTTCAAGGCGGGCCGTGGCAGAGAAGAAGATCGAAGAGATGCTAAAGGCTGATGCCATAGAGCCCTCCAATAGCCCCTGGGCCGCACCGGTAGTGCTGGTGGGAAAGAAAGACAAAGACTGGCGGTTCTGTGTTGACTACCGACGACTGAATGAAAACACCCGCAAGGACTCCTACCCCCTCCCACGCATTGACGATACGCTGCGCTACATTGCTGGGTCCAGTTGGTTCAGTTCCGTAGACCTTCGCAGCGGCTATTGGCAAGTGGAACTGTCTCCAGAAGCTCGCCCAAAGACAGCATTCACCATTGGGCAGGGACTGTGGCAATTTAAGGTGATGCCTTTTGGTCTCTGCAATGCTCCAGCTACCTTTGAACGCCTCATGGAAAAGGTGTTGGCTCGTATTCGACGAAGCCGCTGTGTGGTCTACCTGGATGACCTTCTGGTGCATGCCGACAGTTTTGAGACTGCGCTGGCCAACCTCCAGGAAGTGTTTGATGCCATTCGCCAGGCTAACCTGCGACTTCACCCACGGAAGTGTCACCTGCTCCGGAGAGAGACCACCTTTCTGGGCCACGTCATCAGTGCAGCTGGAGTATCCACAGACCCGGACAAGGTCAGTACAGTGAGGGATTGGCCAGAGCCTCGTGACACTAAGGAGCTGCGTAGCTTTTTGGGGCTAGCCTCCTATTACCGAGGATTTGTGAAGGACTTTGCCACTCTCGCCAGTCCCCTGCATCGGCTGACCCAAAAAGGACAAACATTCCACTGGGATGAAGACTGTGCTACTGCCTTCTCTGCACTCAGGATGGCACTGGTGGGGGCCCCAGTACTGCAGTATCCTGACCCAAACCAACCCTTCATTCTGGATACTGATGCCAGTGATAGAGGCATTGGGGCAGTGCTCTCACAAGGGGGATACACAGAAGAACGGGTTGTTGCTTATTACAGCCACACCCTCAGCCGGGCAGAAAGGAACTACTGTGTCACCCGACGGGAGCTGCTGGCTGTTGTCCAGGGGGTTCGACACTTCCGCCACTACCTCTATGGGAGGAAGTTTCTTCTTCGCACTGACCATGCATCCCTGACCTGGTTGCTGAATTTCAAAGAGCCAGAGGGGCAACTAGCACGGTGGTTAGAGGCACTGCAGGATTACAACTTCCAAATTGTTCACCGGGCTGGTCGGCTTCATGGCAATGCTGATGCCCTGTCACGCTGGCCGTGTGCAATAGGAACTGACTGTAAGCAATGTCAACGGGTGGAAGGATGTGGGTCAATGGACCCCCAGACCGTGGCTCTACAAGTCGTCAGCAACAACCCACAACATCCTAGGTGTCTCAGGGTGACCGAAGGGTCTATGGATAGTGTGGAAGTTATGGGGGCCGAACAACTGCGGGAGGAACAAGATCGGGACCCTGTTCTCGCTCGGGTCAGGCAGTGGGTGGAGGCTGGCCAGCGGCCCACCTGGGAGGTGATAGCAGCTCTAGATCCAGAGACTAAGGCACTGTACTCCCAGTGGTCCACCATTTGCTGCCACAGTGGGCTCCTTTATCGACAGTGGCAAGCCCCAGCAGCACAGCGCCACGTTCTTCAGTTGCTGGTGCCCAAACAGTTGCGGGCCAAGGTGCTCCAGATGGTCCATGGTTCTGTGGGGGCTACTTTGGAGTCGCTAAGACGCTGCAACGCCTCCGGTCAAGATTCCATTGGCCCGGCTGCCGCCAAGATGTGGAGCTCCATGTCCATTGTTGTGATGCTTGCACAGCAAAGAAAGGGCAAACCCAGCGCTCACATGCCCCCTTGCAGCAGTACCAGGTGGGTGCTCCAAGGGAACGAGTGGGTGTGGATGTACTGGGCCCATTTCCTGTGACAGAAAAAGGGAACCGCTACATCCTAGTTGCCATGGACTATTTCACTAAGTGGCCGGAGGCGTATGCCATCCCTGACCAGAGCGCTGCCACCACGGCTGAAAGACTGGTGAGCGAGATGTT